ACAACTATATTACAACAATATTATTCCTCCTATAGGGCCGTGAATGCTGGAGATTTTCCTCACAGATGAAGATAAGATTTGAGGCCACAGATGTAGTTCCACAGAAGCCTGCTTAGAATACCTTAGACGGTGCATGTAAGAAACAGGGAGGTTTTTAGGAAAATGGAAACAAAACAAAACACTTTTAAAGCTAAACAGAGTTTTAATAAACAGGAAAATTTCGTTAGAAATAAAGAAAAGCGTACTGAACTGTTATGCAATATATATGACAATGAAAGCTGGGCCATCTCCTCACATATGAAGAAGAAACTTGAGCCAATAGAAATGTTGTTCTACAGAAGGATGCTAAGAATACCACTTTCGCCCAGTTCACACTTCTCTCCGGTGTTTCGGACAGAAATAGAAGTTTATCCTTTGTTTCCTGTATAAGATTGGGTTTCCGGTTATTTCTAAAGACTTCTCATTTTCTTTCACTCTCAATAGCTCTTTGCAGCTTAGTGGCATTATCGCCTTTCTTGGGGGTGGTTTAAACAAATACCATTAACTGAACATGTGAGCAACGACAAAGTTTGAGCGAAAAATGGAAACACTAAGGACACTTTTGAAATTTCTAAGGTGCATAACGAGGAAAGACGGTATGGAAAATTTGACACTCACAGGACATATTGAAGACAATGAGGCAGAGAAAAGCAGGGAACCTACATAACGAGCTTTTGTAAATGAATGACAGAAAAATGTTTAGGAGAGGTAATAAAAAGATAAAAGGAGCTACAAAGGACAGGAAATTATGGAGAGCCATGATCACCAACGTCCTAAAGCATCACGGGACATAAAAGAAGAAGTCTATTTGTACCGTATTTTGGGAGGTCCTTCAAAGTGGGTTCGCGAGTTTTTTGTTCTAGAGCAGTTCCATAACAAGATGACTGTTTTAAAATCATTGCTTCAGATGATTAGCATCAATGGAAGCTAAATGCAATCGCTACTTCTGCTCTAGCAGTTTCTTTTCTCGCCTGTTCTCTTTACTTGCTTCCCTGATAACTACAATCTTCAAAAATTTTAATTGCAACGTCAATCGCCATCTTCTGTCTTGAATCCCCTTCATCTTTTGTCCTTTCCTCAATCTTCCGTACACTTTTCACTCACCTTCACTCCCAGTAACCTCCTGTGTACTAGTGGGATTACTACCGTGCTTCGGATGAAATGATGTAAAAAAATGTAGGAACGATAAGTGTCGTGCTTTGTTAAAATTATAAGATCATCCTTGCACATTTATAAATCTACCATTTGTCTGTGAATTGGATACTGCTGTCATGTCTGGTCTGGTGCTCCTGCATTCATCTCGTGGTTTTTGACAAAATCCAAAGAAAGATCTGCAATGTAATCGATCCTGATTTAACATCTCGACTTCAGTCACTTTCTCACCGACTTCACGTTGCTTTCCTCTAACTCTTCTTCAAATATTTTTACGGCAACTCTTCTTGTGAATTAGTGTTGCGAGTGCACAAATTTATCTAGCTTGTTACTAGACTGGCAACAAGTCTCACCAATTTACCGTTAAGCTAGATGCAACCAGCTGTTGTATTTTTTTCCAATAGTTTCTTTTCTCGCACTTCTCCCCTGCGGAATACTCTTCCAGTTTCTTGCTTCCCTGTCAGCTACAGTCTTCAATTATTTAACTGCAACGTCAATCTCCATCTTCTGTGTTTTTTAAAACTCTGTTCTTTTATTGTCCTTTTCTGCAGTTGTCACTAAAGTCTTCTCATTCTGTTTCACTCCCTGTAATCCTCTGCGTCTTCGTGGCATTATCGCCTTGATTGAGAGGGGATTATAAAAAAAAGAAAATATATATGTCAAACGCTGAAGAACGCAGGTAACTGAGAGGCGTGGTAGGTCGGACATACCCCGGAAGATTATGAATATAAATGCTCTGCTATTGCGGTAGTGAGCTCTCGTGTTTTTTTAATTTTTTTTAAGTGTGATCATACGGGCGTCACTCTTGTTTGTATATATATTGTTGTAACCTAGAAAGGGTTACTGAATGAGGAATAACCAAAACGGAGGTTGGAAATGAAACAAAATACAAGCGGCATGAAGTAGATAAACCACTGCTAGTGGTGAGCTACTTAGACAGTATATTAATCCCCCTCCCACCTTACATCTCGAGATTCTTGACAAAATCCAAAGAAGGATCTGCAATGTGATCCATCCAACAAATATTTTCATGGCGAGCTTTTTTCCCTAGTGCCCCGACTACATAAATTTCGGCGTGGTACTATATTGACATTTAGGTCCCACCCATTTACTGTTGAAATAGCTAAATGCAACCGCCACTTCTACTCCAACAGTTTATTTTCTCGCACTTACCGCCTGTTCTGTTTATTTGCTTCCCTGATAAATACAATCTTCAAAATTTTAAATGCAACGCCAGTCGCGATCTTCTATCTTCTTAAATCCCGTTAATCTTTTGTCCTTTCTTCAATTTTCCGTATATTCAGTCTTTTCTCTCACTTCCCCTCCCTGTAACTTCCCGTGTATTAGTGGCATTCCCGCCGTGCCTGGGGTGAAATGATTAAAAAAATATGTAACAAAAAGTCATTATAAGGAAGTGGACACAATCAATACGGTAAAAGCACTTCAGTTGTAGAAATCTATTCCTTTTGAGGGAAACATTTGCAGATTCACTCTGAAAACCCAAAATATTTTGTTAATAATTTTGTACATGACTTGTAGTGTAACGTTTGATCATTGAAGCCCGACCAAAAAAAAAAAAAAAAAACCCAAAAAACAGAAAAAAAAACAACAACAACAAAAAAACAAGTATTCATTCAGTTTGAACCGCAATAAACTAACATGGCGAAATCACTGTTTAGTCCCGAGAGAGTGAATTTGAATGAAATTTTTTATTTTTCCCAAATCATAAGCAGTGCGTACATCCTGTGCGCAGAATGTCTTCTTTCAGAACAATATCGGTAATGGGCGGTTGAACATTACCATTAACTCATTATTTCAAGTATCACTGGGCGCCCAGTACTTGTAGCCTTGTGCCAAATTTAGCTGAGTAAACAGAAGGTCTGGTTGAATATTATTACTAAGTAGTTCGATACTCACTAAGTGTCCTGTAATTATGACAAACTTAGAGCGCGTTGTCATCGACTAATGTTCAGCTAGCTAGTCTGTTTGAATATTACCACTGACTCGTTACTTCGATTCACACTGAGTGCCCCAAATTTGCAGCCTTGCTCCAAACATAGATGAGCCAATATGGGGCGCTTCGGCATGTGGGAATATATCGTGAGTTTGGTTAAACATTGTCACTGCGGAGGGAGTTTGATTTTCACTTGGTGTCCCATAGATATACTCTTGTACTAAACGCTTCGACATGTGGGAATTTTTTGTGAATTAGTCTGGTTAAATGTTATTACTGAGCAATGAGTTCGATTCGGTGTCTCATACAAGTGCCGTTTTTTTTAAAACTTTTTTCATCTAATACAAGGCCCAAGAGCGACTCGAGGTAGAGGTATACTGAGTAGTTTGTTTGAGCGATAAAAGTAAGCACGAAGAGGCGCAGTTTATGAGGATATGTAGGAAAGATAACGGTTAACCCTTGCCTTGAACAGGTTAAGTTTGTAGTGACCCGGAAAGCATCCTCTTGGGAGTCGTTTCCCCGAGATAGCGGTTCGTGGAAAGAAGCTGTCCGAGGGCAGCTTACTTCTGGCTAATGGCATACGAAAGGAATGGAGATGGTTCGTCCCAGTGCATGTAGATGGCGGTTTTTAGCCGTGAAGGGTAGGACTAATGGAATTCAGCAATGTAACTCGACTGAACATTTCCTATGGAAATCAAACTTCACTGGGTGAAGAGAAGACGAGTTGGCGTGGGTCATTAACAAACTAGTTTGATCGTACCTCACTACGTAGTTATAAGTTCGATCCTCATTGGGTACTCGAGACTAGTGCCGCAAAAATGGAATTATAAACGTTGACCAATCGTAAAGAATAGATGCCAAGGATGAAGGTTCATTAAAACAGATCTATAGAACCCCAACCTGATTGACCATCTTGACATCCTCATTGTGCTTGGCAAATATATATCTTCATATAGAAAGCCTGTTTGAATGAGATTTCACAATGATAACATATTTCTATCCATAGCTAAAGAGTCGTACTGTGGAACATTCCAGATGACATTTAGATGGGGTGTCACACATCTCAGCAGATATTGAGCGTCATAGTGCATTAGGAAAAAGCAAAATTCAATATGGCGGTGGAGAATTTATATAAATCCCTCGTGTTCGTCACCATTCTATAAAAGTCGATCTGTTGTTGATCCTTATTTAGAGAATTGATATTAAATATTTATTTATTTGAAAGATATTCTTGCTTTTCGATGTGCCCTGTCACTTAAGGATGTGGCTCTCCACAACTTCTTCCCAGTCCATGTTCTGGATCCATTTACAAAAGCTTACTAGATAGGCTATTCCCTCTGTCCTTCTTGCCTTCAGTATGTCCTGTGAGTGTCGAATTCCGCAAGTCCCCTTTTTCCAAAATATGCTCTAATAACTGTCTTTTACTCCCCCAATGCACAAGTGCCATTTCCATTGTCCTTATCATTAAAACTTCCTTATTAATCACATTTCTCGTTCATGTTATTCTCAGTTATTATTCTGTAAAACTTTATTCATGTTGCATCAAAATTTTCCTTTTGCTTAATACTTTATTTTTTTGGAATGCTTCTTTCAATATTCCAATGCACTGTCGATTTTGTTTAGCGGTATATCAACACCTCTATGGGTTATTTAACGTGCGAAATCTAAATATTTTGAACACAATTTTATGGCTTCAGCTAAATATATTTTGAACGCAATTGTATGCCTTCAACTACAGATAAAATGTATTGTTGATGAGTTTGCTATAAAATGCGCTATTGGTAATTATACTATAAAATGAATTGATGGCCCTCTTTCTTTTTATGTGCCATGTCCTTTCAGGACGTAGGCGATCATGGCCCTCCACCTCCCTCTATCCCTTGCAGCTCTCAACAAGTTCCTTCCCTTTCATTCCTTCCCCTTAAGCCCGCCAGGTATGTCACGTGTTGTTTTCTCTTGTCTCTCTGTCTCTTTATTCGACCCGTAAGTATCAGATTCTCTAAGCCCTCCTTCCTCATTATGTGTCCCAGAAACTTCAGCTGACTCTTCCTGATGTTATAAGCCTCCTCCTTGTTTGCATCCTCTCTAAGACGTCATCGTTGCTCACACGCTCGGTCCATGATATCTTTAGCATCCATCTGTAGAACCACATCTCCGTCGCTTCTAGTCTCTTCTTCATCTTTGAGGAAATCGTCCAACATTCGCTGCCATAAAGACGGACACGTCACGTCACGTAAAAGCTCAGTATTCTTTTCTTTGTTACCAAAGAAATCCTCCTGTCGCGCAATACTCTGCCCAGCTTTAGGAATGTGTCCTTAGCTATCCCAATACGTCTACGGAACTCAGTGTCGCATTTACCGTCCTCTGTCAGAATGCTTTCCAGATATTTAAACTTCCGCGTCTACTTGATTCTAGTGTTCCAAACCTGCAAATTGCATTTCGGGCTCATGGTCAGTTTGCTTTAAAAAAAAAAAGTATTGTTGGTAATTTTACAATAAATATGAATCGTTAGTAATTTTTGGTATAAAAATGTATTGCTGCGATTTTTACTATAAAAATGTATTTTGATATTTTGTTTTGTTTTTGTTTAGGGCTTCATTATTTGCCCATAGCTGGAATACTCACTAGTGCTACCACCCCAGGTCAGGGTGAACCAGGGAACAACGGGATTTAAGAGAAGTTTTCTCTTGATTAGAGGCCTTTCCTCCCGGAGGTAGTGTGCCTTCGGATTTCTGTTACAATTTCCGTCGTCTGTTATAACATTTCCCAAATAGTTTGTTTTCTGTTGTTGCTTTAATTCTGACGTTTCCAGTTTGTAACTCATTTTGTACGTTGCCCCTTTTGCTAACCACCATACATCGTTAAGTACAACTATTCTTAGTTTGCAGTTTTATTTCGACAAAAACGGATAATTCTGCAAAGACCAAGAAATTCTAATCTATTTACGCCAATCTGAAAGCCTGATTTTTTTCTTCCTACGGGGTTGCATAGAAATATGCTTCTATTGAAGACAAGGTTTTAGATGAATAGGGACAAACGATGGTTTCGGCAAAAATAGATCCATACATTTCTAAATCTATCAGAACGTGCAACAGAAAAGTTCCTTTAAGAAATTGAACCCAGTACGTCAGCTCCCTATTCTGTAACTTCTCCCGACTCACATGTACTAATTTATTTTATTTCATTCGAGGTAAGGAAAAAAAATTATAAATGTTTCGAAGGTGGCCCCGAAATCAACACATCCTGGTTTTCAAGATGGCCCACGATGTCCGAGAAGCGGGTGTTAGAGTAGTAGAATTAGAGATTCGCCAACCAAATAACCCATAATTTTGAGGGTTATTGTTACAGATAGCAAATCAGCGGCAGTCTCGTAAAAGTGCGTCTGACATGAAAATAAGTATGATACGGAGGGGGGTGTACTTACAGGAAAAAAGCGCCCAATATCTTTAATCAAACTTTGTAGCACGCTTACGGAGACCAAACATTGGATATGAACGTAGTTAGGCAGTTGGTAATGCGTTTCAGCAATGATAACAACAAAACGTATAATAAACTACCTTCTAAGTGGCCCAGAACATCTGTCAAGACACGAAATGAAAAACTCTTCCTCTTTGGAGGTAAGAACTGCAGTCCACGATGTCAGAGAAGGGGTGGTATATTAGAGCCTCCACGCAAATAACCCATAATTTTGAGGATTATTGTTTTAATTTGGAGGTTTATTGTTAGATATAGCAACTCAGCGGCAGTCTGGCTAAAGTGCATCTGACATGAAAATGAGTATGAAACAGAGGTGTGTCCTTGCAGAAAAAAGCGCCCAATGTCTTTAATGAAAGTTTGTAGCACGTTTACAGAGACCAAACAGTGGATATGAACGTAATTAAGCAGTTGAGTAAAAGCGTTACAGCAATGGTAACAAGAAAACGTTAATTAAACCACGTTCTGAGCGACCCTGCACGTCTGACAATCCACAAAATAAAGAGCTCTTTCTGATAGGAGGTAAAAAAATGCGGTCAATGGTGGATGGAAAATAGCTTTTTTTAGATGAAAACTTGCTCTATTCAACGGGGATATCGTGCTCCCTGGATCTGTTGTAGTTTCCATGGAAATAAATAGAAGGCATTATTTTCGGAGAATATAATGTAGATGAAACAAAAAATGTAGACTTTGTGGAAAGAAATTTCGAAAGCCTCAATTTGTTTGAGGTTTGAATTATGAAAAAAATTTAAACGGTTTGTTCACTTTGTTTTCGCCGTGTTTACGACTCAGCAACTCTGTTTATTTTCCCGCTGAATTTTTGAAAAAATAGCCATTCAGTTTTCTGAAAGAAAAAAAAAATCAAATCGTAAGTGAATAGAAAGCTGTTTCTGTGTTGTCTGGCGATTTAATTCGCTTGACAATACGTGAATTGATTCACATTAAAATCTGCATGGCGTAAAGACGTCCTTTTTCTATTTTTTGTCCGATTTTTTTCTCTTTCAAATTCTTTTACTATTTTGCCCTCTTCGCTTACACCCCCACTCTCTCTCTCTCTCATTCTCCTTTTCTTATTTTCTTGATATTCTCTTTTCTTACGTTCGTTCTGTTTCCATTCTTTCTTTTTATGTCTTTTCGTATTTCCTTCTTATTTTCTCTAATTGACTTTATCGTTAGTTTCATTGCCATTTGATTTTTTTCATTTGATTTTCTTTCTTTCCGTTAATATCTTTTTCTTCTATCCTTTTTCATTCTTTAGTCGGCTTCTGTCTTTCTTTCGTTTAATCTAGGTACCTCCTCGAGATCGCTAAAAAAGAGCATAGCATGAAGAAAAAGACGCCAAACTTGACGAAAACAAAATTTTATCGTCTAAATATTTATGATATTATTAAGAGGAAAGATCAACGTATTTGGGGGGGTATTTTTTTCACATTTTTAATCGTTCCTAGCATAGGTACCTCCACGAGATCGCTAAAAAAAGAGCATAGCATAATGAAAAAGACGCCAAACTTGACGAAAACAAAATTTTATCGTCTAAATTTTTGTTATTATTAAGAGGAAAGGTCAAAGTATTTTGGGGGTATTTTTTTCCATTTTTTAATCGTTCCTAGCACGTCCGAAATTTTCGTTAAAAACTTGTTTTTTTTTTTGAGTCAGCAAAATTGACCATTTTTTCCATTTTATAAAAAAACTGAAAATCTCCCTTTGAAATTCTTTTAAATATCAATTATCATTTTTTTAAAACTTATTTTAAGAAAATCAGAAATTATAATATTTATTTAAAATATTTTGAATCAAGCTTAACTTAGTTTCTGCGCCGAAAAGATGTAATTTGAAAATAAAACAAAGCAGGTCATAAATTTTCGAGTCACTTGACACGTGATGAATGACATATTGACGGATTCCGTGAGGATAATTTCTTCTACGGAAGGAGAAAAGTGAAATTATTTATATTTAAGTGTATGAATTATTTACTTTGTTATTTTTAAGGAAAACTTTCGGCGCTCTAATTTTTTTGTTGTTTTTTGTACTTAGCTTTCACTTTTACGTTTACGATGCTTTATGGAAAATATATTATAAAGAAATTAAAATAAGACTGTTAAGAGTGAGATTAAATTTCATATTTCATAAGAAAGGTATCTAATTAATTTATAGGTACCTTTCTTATGAAATTTTATCAAAAGTGTACATAAATTACTATAATTTTATGTACATTTATTACAATTTACTGTGTTATTTATATTTCCATTTACTTTATTATTAATTTTGATATTTCATTTAAGGAAAAATGTCATAACTGAGATTAATATAAAAATAAGATCATATAAATATCATAAGATGATAGTGATACTTGTAGGTACCCTTCTTAGTTGAAATTGAAAAATCAAAATAACTTCTCCACACGTGTTTCGCAAAAGTAAAGGATAACAATGCTTAACTCAAATAACGCAACTTAATTGTATTCTGGTTGGTCTTCCGTACTTTATAATTACAGCCCGATTATAAACACAAAATTACATTTCTTAATTACTGTGGACCTTCTGATTAGTCAAAATGATACAATTTACAACGCGCTAAAAATAGATCTATCTCATAAGGACACTTAGGAAACCCGATACGGCTTTTAACTAATTTTATAATATTTTAACAAGTTAAATGTAAAAATGTATTATAATTAAAAAATAACAAAGAATTGTATTAAAAATTAAATTTTTCATCGAAAATTTATTTGCTTTCAGAAATATTGTCCATATTCATAAAAACAGCTAAAAGCAAATAAAAGTATTTGAAATTAAATAATATCTTTGATTTATTGTGTTTTGTATGTTACAATTCAGAGCTGATTTTCAGGTAGGGGGTCCAATTAAAAACAAAAAACAAAAATGATTTGAATTCCTCAAAGCCTTGTCCTTTTAACTATTGTAATCACTAAACCTGACGCGATCGAATTTCTAGCGTTTTCATAAAATTAGTTATTAATAAATATTAGGGGATTTAATAAAAAAAAATATAATAATTTCGATCCTCTGTGAATAGTTTCTGTAATTTCGTTAACATCCGACAATTATTTTTATTTTTGAAATTTTTCAAATTTTAATGCTAAAATTTAGAATGTTTCGAGAAAAAGAAGGAAAATTTTTAATCAAAATTTAGAAAAAAAAAAAATGAAAAAAATAATTAAAATAAACTTTGATCTTTCCTCTTAATAACAATATAAACATTTACACGATAAAATTTTGTTTCCGTCAAATTTGGCATCTTTTTCATCATTCTATGCCCTTTTTTCCCTCATGGAGATACCTAGTTTATTCTCTTTAACTTTCTATCGTTTTTCTCGTTCTTAGTGCGCATTAATTTTCCTTTGTTTTTGTCACATTTCAACCCCTCAATTATTCTTTTTCTTTCTTTTTTTTCTTTCTTTCTTTCTTTCTTTCTTTCCGTTTCTTTTTTCCTTTCCTTTTTCATTTCTTCTTTAATTTTCCTTTGTTTTTGTCGCATTTCAACTCCTCATTTATTCTTTCTTTCTTTCTTTCTTTCTTTCTTTCTTTCTTTCTTTCTTTCTTTCTTTCTTTTAACTAATTTTATAATATTTTAACAACTTAAATGTAAAAATCTATTATAATTAAAAAATAACAAATAATTGTATTAAAAATTAAATTTTTCATCGAAAATTTCTTTCTTTCTTTCCGTTTCTTTCTTTCTTTTTGTTTCTTTCTTTCTTTCCGTTTCTTTTTCCTTTCTTTGCTTTCCCATTTCTTTCCATTATTTTCTCTTCCATTTGTGACACACGTCCGAAGATGAACAGAATAGAAAAGGACGTCTTTAAGATAAATATTAAGATATAAGGACATATACTTAGAAACAAAGAATAGATAGAGCCGCTATGCAATATCTAATCTCTTATCTGACAGTGAATAGATACCCTAAATGAAGAATCGACTTCAAACGTTAAGGATGTGGTTCTAGCGTTGAATACCGAGAACATGATGGAATATGTAAGTAGCGGTGAAGTTTTCAGGTAAGTAGGGGCAATAAGGAGAGTTATACATACAATCTGATTGAGATGGCTGAAATATCTGAGACACATAATGAGGAAAGGGAGCCTAGCGACGTCAACACTCAAAAGGCATAAAGAAGACAAGAAAAATAACCTAATTAACGAAAGTGAATGGATGGCAAAACAAGGATGATGAAAGATGGTAAAAGAGCAAAAGATAATGGGATAAAAGAAAAGATAGGAAGTTGTGGATAGCCATATTCGCTCACATGTCTTTATCACAACCATTGCACTCTTTACAGACGAACATATATATATATATATATATATATATATATATATATATATAAAATATAGATAACTAGACTCGTTTCGAAAAACCTTCGAATTTTTTGATTTGCTAATCAAATCAATCTCGAGGGAAAAAAGGTTTTAAAAAAGAAAGAGCTACAAACATGAACTTCTGCCGACAAAAAAAAAAAAATCGCACAGATGCAGGTCTGAAGCCCAAAGAAAAAAACCCGATACGAGTAACAACTAACAAAAAAAAGCTCAATACAACCGTAGAGCAGACCTAGATACACCTAGTGAGCCAGACAAACCTACCTGGGTTTCACCTAAACGGATCGTCAGGGAAAGTTTGGCCAAACTTTCCTGACGATCCGTTTAGGTGAAACCTAGGTAGGTTTGTCTGGCTCACTAGGTGTATCTATCTATCTATCTATCTATCTATCTATCTATCTATCTATATATATATATATATATATATATATATATATATATAGATGGAGAAATATACTTTTAAGGTGTGCAATATTTATGGGATAAAGTGCTCAGTATCAGAGATGGAGCGTATGTAAATATAAATATAAAAGTGAACATTGAAGTCAACACTCAGAGGCGCCAGGCTGTTTCGTGCTAGACGCAATCGTCAGGCAGCTGATTGCGTCTAGCTTGAAACAGCTTGTCGCCTCTGAGTATTGACTTCAATGTTCACTTTTATATATATATATATATATCCTTAAACAACACGGACGTCATATCTTAGGTACCTTTCGGCCAACACTTTTTCAAAGGAATTCGTTGGCGATTGGGAATACAAATGAAGACACTCAATAAAGTAAATGAGGAGGAAAAGGTGGAATGCGATTAAAAGAGAAACTTTAATTATACACAATTAAAATCGAACAGGCGGGGGTGAAAATTAAAAGTTCCACAATAGTATAAAATGGAAAAAAGACACTAACAAACTCTCCAACAACCGCAAAGAACTTAAAAAATCTTCCTTTTGTCTCCACAGGCTGATGACACTATACAAACAGCTTCCAAGACTCGGTGATGGTATACTGATCGAGCGCTGTGTAATACTGAAAACCAAGCGTCTTCATATTCAGAGGCACAAGCATGGTTGTCGAGCAAATGCTGACCGATGGAAGATTCATGGACCACCTGAATAGTTCTTATAGACTGGCTAAGACTACCAGAACGCAAATAGGCGGGAACATGCTGCGCAACCCGCGTCTCCAACCTCAGATTCGTTCGACCTATTTACACCGCGTCACAATGGCATTTGAACTTCTACACAACTAAACCTTTTCTGAAAATAGGACAACTTATCTTTAGTAAAGGACGGAAACACAGGTCTTGTTTGAAAAACTGTGCGCAACTTAACCGCATTATAGCAAGACGAAATAGACGCCGAAATTCTGTCAGACAATAACTGACATTTCCTAAGACAAGGTAATTTCAAATAGATAGGTCAATGGCTAGGTTCAAAAAGCCACAGGTTCCTTAAACCGCCTGATTTTACTATCAATAACACGCCTGATAACATTGATGGCATATCCATTACTTTCGAAAATATTCCGAATAGTAGTAAGTTCTCCATCTAACGTTTCATGGGAACAAATCATGATAGCGCGGTGAACCAAGTTAGCAATCAGACCAATCTTATGGGACTTAGGCACAAACAAATTCCAGCTCGTGTATAGTCCAGTGAATGTGGGCTTACGAAAAACACTGGTAACAAAAAACCCGTCCTTACGTGTAACAAGGACATCCAAAAAGGAAAGTGCCCTATCTTTCTCAACCTCCATTGTAAACTTAAGGGATGGATGAAGAGAGTTAAGTTGAATCAGGAAATTTGTAGCATCTGTGGCTGAATCAAAGATAGAAAAGTTGTCGTCCATATATCTCGTATAGACACAAGGTTTTTGGACATTGTCAAACAAGATTAGCTCGTAATAGCCCACGAAAATATTGGCTAAAACCGGACCTAAAGGGCTACCCATAGCAACACAAATATATACACAAAATATCGACACAAATGCCAATGGTCTCATGTAATGGGACGTTAGTGAATAAACTGACAATGTCAAACAACACCATCAGTTTATCCTCAGACCGAATATCCAAACTTCTAATGAAGTTAGAAAAAAGAAAAGAGTCTGAAATATTATAACCTGAAAAGATATTCGAGTCTGGCTGGAGCAATTCAGCCAACCATTTAGCCAACTCATGATCGCAGCATAGGCAAAATTGGTCTAAGTGGGACTCCATCTCTGTGCACTTTGGTCGTTGTGAAACTGTATATATATATATATATATATATATATATGTGTGTGTGTGTGTGTGTGTGTGAGTGTGTGTGTGTGTGTGTGTGTGTAAAATATCGCACACTGAGTGCAGGTGCTAAAAAATAATGTACATTTATTAATATATATATATATATATATATATATATATATATATATATATATATAGGTTGCTACTGGTAAATTGTCGTCTAAATTACGCCAAAATGAAAATAGCACTATAACCTCATTTTAACAGATATATTTATGAAAATTGCACAAAAATATCTTGAAATACTAAAGAGGAAATTTATTCAATAAACTCGACATTGACTTCAACCACGGTCTCCAGATGACTTCGGAATTTCCTGAAACACTTTTGCACGGTTTCCTTGTTCAAGTTGCTGAATGCTACCATATTTCTCTCTCTCTCTCTCTCTCTACTGAGCTACACATATAATAATCTAGGGGGTTGCAGTCTGGGGTGTTAGGTGGCCAGATGTAGGGTGTAATGTGGTTGCGGAAATTGTCTGACAGCCATGACTGGGTTTTCCTTCTTGTGAGGCATGGTGCAGGCTCCTGTCGCCAGACATTGGGTCTTCCAGCAGCCACCCTCTTGACCCAGGGCAACGCTACCGCGTCAAGGTACTTAATGTAGGCCTCCATGTTGATTCTGTTGCCCTGTGGGAAAGTAAATGGATGCACGAGGTCGCTGTCGCTACTGATCGCTTCAAATACCTTCGTAATCACCATTATACTCATCCAACTCTTTCCGAATCAACTGCACTGCCCTCTGATTGACACCCGCGCAACACTTTCCAAATCCCCTGAAATGGTCGTACTGGAGCTTCCAGAGTGAATGCCAAGCATTCCAAATTTCTAACAGATTGAATTGCGTTATGGCGCTCATTTTCTCACCGATAGTGCACAGATGACCCTACTATACTGTGCAGTCGGCAAAATCAAAACAAACAACGTGCATGCGCGAAATAAAAAAAAACAAACTTGCCACAATTTACCCATCGGACCATATATATATATATATATATATATATATATATATATATAAAAAAATTATTTATTTAAAAAAAATTATAGCATAAATAGGTTATAAAATCACTACAAAAATCGCCATTTTGTTTCAACACCCCCGGTGTCTTATCAAGTGAAGATGTTGAATGTAAAATAAATGGTTTTAAAAGTTTCAAATTAATTAACGATCCTTCGCAAGGGGAAAACATTGTTACAAAAGCTAGAATGACCAATCAAAATACCAGTATAGGAAAATTCAAAAAGCTTGACAACGAAGTCATGTTATAATAGCTATTCAGATCTTTAAAATAGGGGTAATATTAAAAAAAGAATTTATTCTAACCAATAATTATTAAATTATATGATAAAATTTGATATTAAAATTAAAAGTAAAAATTACCAATTTTAAAATCCAAATTTAATGATTATTAAATTTAAAATTATAAAATTACTGAGGAGAAAAGAAGAAATACATATGTTATTCAATTTTTTTCTTCATTGAAATTACGTTAGAATAGACGCTAATATGTCATCCAGTCCTCTGACATGTATACATTTTAATCCCCAGTGTGTGAATGGGGTTCTAACCTCACGTGTAAAACAACCCAAACACACTCAGATTATAATACATAAGCACCCAGACATATTTAGATATATATGCACACAAAAAGTGACGAGACAGGGAACATCTCCCCGGCCATTTATAAAAAAAAAAGAAAAAAAGAAAAAGGAAACAAACACATGCATACATACACAATTAAAAGTGAATGCACTTTCCATACACATAGACTTATATTTATATATATATAAAAAATAATCATACATAGAATCAATCAGCAATATTAATGTATTAATTCTATGTACGATTATTTCTTTATATATAAAATATATGCTGCCTAATATTATATATATATATATATATATATATATATATATATATATATATATATATATATATATATAAGTAGTTATACTCGTTTGGGAAAAACCTTA